GGGGTACCAGGTTGATCAGCTGTTCCCGCGGACAGTCCAGTGGCTGTAGCAGGACCCTCCTCCCGCTCGCACACTGTCTGGTCTAAAAACTGACCCGCTAGCTTCCAAAATGCCGAAATTTTTCTGTTCTCCTCCCGTGTCCAAACGAGGCCCGGCCAGAACCTCTCTGTTTACAAGCCCAGTACTGAGAAACTGTTTTGATTGGTTGTTTCGTAAATGTGGTGTGTTTGAGAAAATGGGAAAAATAGGTTTCGTGGTGCAGTCACGCACTTCCTGGTCACAAAATTTTCTTTAAATGCGCATATTATGGCAAAAATCTTTCATCATTAAATCTGGTTTTATTTGGAAGTAAATAAAATTGCTGTTCAATCCAGTTCAAATGAACACTGAAAGCTCTCACTGTTTTTTACTGAAGCCCTGTCAAWGCATCACAGCTTTCGAGCTCAGAGGGTTAAAAGAAATTTAAAAATTCCTGTATCCGCATCGTGATCCGGAACCTCACCAAAATTTACAGYTGTGTTCCTTGGGACTGTACCCACATGTGGTAAAAATGCCATGACAATCCATCCACAGGTTCTTGAGTAYTTTTGTCCACAGACAGAACGACAGACATACGCGACCGAAAACATTACCTCGCCCATGGCGGAGGTAACAATAATGATCTGTGAGAGCTGCTGCTTTACGTGGAGGAGAATCTGATTTAAGTCTTGGAGCTAAAGCGAGCTGCAGTTAGAACCCCGTTAGATATTTAATTTGTCTAAACGAGGCACTGCATGAGTTAGGGATGAAGGCAGGAAGTGTCTGAGAGTGATGGGAGCAGTTTTCATGGGATCCAGAGGGATTTGTGTAACGTCGTTACTCGCCTGGCTCTAATGCAGCTTCAAATCGATGGCGGCGGGGCGAGCGGCTCCTCTCCTGTCACGTGACGCGGCGTCCGTCATGAGTGGTTTAGTGTCGATTGATCTGAAAGCATRGTTCTGTCCCCGAGGCGCATCATCGGTGCTTTTAAAGGCAGATGTTTTCATTTTTCTCCCCCTCTGATCCCACATCAGGCTGCCTTGAGTCCTGTAGAGGTTTCTCCTGGTCCGACTGCAGACCTCAGACCTGATCAGGACTAAKTTCTATAAAAACCAGCTGCAGAGGAGAACG